CGCAAGTCTGCCTTGCGAGTCGAAGCGGCCACGTGAGATTTCCATTCAAACAGGGACGCTTATTGCAAGGTGTGATGACCGTGGGAATTGTACTCATTTCTTGAGTTTGTCTTATTACCTGCGTACGTGACACGAACTCACCACTTAAAAAAGAATGCAACGCATGGCAAAAATAGTTCCCTTTTGGGCCACTTTTGCTTCACACTTGCCTCACACAATTGTGATGACATAGTGACGGCGTACGTAAATTTTGCCTCCTGTTCTCCCCTTCTTTCTTTCCCCTCCTCCCTTCTTTTCTGTTGTCTAAGCTTTTCTTTTCCTTGCCTTTTGGAGGAATATTAGAAGCTGAATTAGCAGAATTCGAATTTTTCAAAAATTGTTGTATACGTTGCACAATCGACGTTTATTGTCAACACGAGCGCGCGTCGTGAACACGCCTTTTATACTCCAGGCTTGGGAGGGGGGAGCACGTGCGACGCACCCCCGCCGTGCTTTTGACTCGGTTCGTTAGCTGTGATGGCGTGGGCTGCACTCAACTCGCAAAGGGCACCTGTTCCTTCATTGCTTGCATCTTGGAACACGCACGTCTTACTGCGTATCGAACTCCTTGCGAGGGAAGCAAGTTACGGCTGCGGCGTCGCTGTTCGCAGATTATTCATCGAATCTTTTGGACATGTCCAACATCCTCCTTACGTTCTTACGGGCTGTCTGCATACTCCAAATTTAGTAAGAAGGACTTCCATGACACCTGAGATTCTGCACAAAATTTGGATGCAAGCAGTCCCTAAGAGCCCGTACAACCGGTTGTGACTGAGGCTTTTAACCTTCACAATTTTCTCACCTCCCTATTGAATTGTAAGATTGCAAGTCAACAGGCATGTTTCGTCACTTCAGAGGTCATGATAACTGAGTAAATAAATATTGACCAATTAAAACCAGAAGGTATGTCTCTTGGAAATTTCCAAAATTGCATAAAAAACTCCTCTACATTATTACGTAATGAAAATGGAAATTTCAAATTCATCATAATGTGTTTTTATTATTCCTTTTCTTTTCACTATTAATGCAAATCTTACTGCAAAGTGGTTTCACAACTAAATGTCCAGTTATGTCCGACAAATGTGTACATTATTCTACATATTGTGTCTTTGCTTCCATTCACCCACACAGTTAATAAAACAGGGTAGTTGTTCATCTACCTGTAGGTGCCATTTTGGATTTTTTTTCATAAACCATGATCTGCTATCTTAACTTGGTCATTTTATTATATTCTTATTACAGCATCAACCTATGAATGAAATGAAGAAACTTGTATGCTGACGTGCCACTTTCCAATTCAGTCTGACTTGGAAATTAAGAATTGAGTAAGGGGGGAGAGAGAAAACTGACCTTATTTCGAAAACGATTATTTATTTGGCCATTTGGACTTTTATATAACAAATACATGTATATGCACATAACACACACACACACACACACACACACACACACATACATGGTATACCTGTATACGGTTTTCAGAGAGCTCAACTCTACAGAGCATTTATACACATTTTATTAAAATAAATAAAGAAATGATTAAAACAGAGGCATGTCTAAACCTCTACCAGTTCTCCGATGGACTTCACAAGTTTAACAACATGGATGCCTTATATTTTTCAGTAAGCATCATATCATTAATATGTGCAAAATTTAAAGCAGTATAAACTTCAGTTGCAAACATCTCAAAACTGTTAAATTGGTGATAAAACGTTAGGATTTTTACCCCATAGGGTGGATAAAATCTTCTGAGTTGCATGGACAAGTAGTCGTCCTCCTGATTTGATTCTAATGCAACGAGATTCGCTCCCCTGATGACACATTCAGTTCTCGCCTCAGACCAAGTCTTAGCTAACGTGCCAATGCCATAGCAACTGTCATTAAAATGGTACGGGAATGAAACACCACATACTCCTTTCCCTGTGAGAGATCGCTCAACCAAGGGCTCTGAAATGAAGAAAAAACACGCACACACACAAGAGGATCAAAGTTTTAATGCTATTTTTGGAGTTAAATTTTCCTTCGTTCATTAATCTTTTTTAAATGCGTGTCTTGTGTTATTTTGTTCACAAAATGTAATGTTAACAGCTGCTTTTACCAGATAGATAAAAAACATTGATCAGAATGCGTGTGTGTGCACTAACGCAAACAGTGCTGCATTCTAGTTAACTGTATTTATACATGTAGCAACATTCTGTATAAAAAAAAATATCGGTTTATTTCTATAACAACCGATCGAGTCCAGTAGTTGCCACACGATACATAATAATAACGATTATGTACATTCATTACAACTCACTAAAGTTTAATTGTACAATGTAATCATTTTGTTATAATACTAGTATTATATTTACAACATAATGATATCTTTCCCCCCAATTTGTTCCTAATCTTCACGTTTCTGTTCTACTCCGAATTATTATCATCATCCGGGGAGAACATAATAAAGGAGCGACATACTGCATGTGACGCTCAGATTTATCATGCACAATTACCAGCACTATTATATTACTAACATATACAAACGTAAGGTGTAATGGTGATTACACATTTAAGAAGTTTTTTTTTTTTATTTAACGTTTACACTGTGCTATTGTTGTTGTTGTGTGTGTGTGTGTGTGTGTGTGTGTGTGTGTGTGTTAGAGAGAGAGAAAGAGAGAGAGGAGAGAAAAAGTTTGAATTATTTCTTTTTCAACCTGTCTGTTTTTGAAATTGTTCAATGTCCTAGGACATGTGCTCCTAGTAATGGGAAACCCAGGACATGCATTCCCAGGACTTAGTGTCCACAGGACACTAATTCCTAGGAACACATATTATACGGACATGCATTACGGCGGACATCCATTCCCTTCATACCGGCAATTGTATATACAGAATTGACATTAATTTGTTCTAACAAATGGTAGACAGGTGGTTCCAGAATATTCCTGAATTGAACGTGGTTCGGGTTTTCAACGATGACTACCATTGGTATTTTCGCACCAAAGTGAAATACAGTCCAGATACTGATGTAGATTCTGTACCTTAAGTGAGACCTAGGCACCCTAGGTGAGACCATGCATCGCCCTAGGCCCCCTTCAGGGTGACTGCATGTGAACTCTTATTTGGTCACCATGTGTGTGTGGGGGGGTCGAAAGATACATGTCTGAACATACTAATAACAAATGTTACAGATTGTTGCACTGTTACGTTACCTCCAAAGACAAATCCTATGCCACAGAGAAGCAGAAGAACATAAGGTACTACAACCATCTTGTGAACAATGCACAACTTCCTCAAGCGATGCCTGTGCAGAATGAAGAGATTTCTGTCATGCGTTTCAAATTGAAAGAATTCCAAGCATATGTGTATACTCAGCTTCCACAGGCTGAGGATGGAAAATTATATAATATAACGCCTGATGGTAATTAAGGGAACACAAAAATATACTTTCCCTCCACCATTATTTGTACCCGCAGACTGATTATGTAACGGAAAATATGTTCACTTTATCAGTGGCTCATATGCAATGTTGTTCTCTGAAACATTGATGGTTCCCAAGTCATTGCAGAAATAGACAGTATACTGCACAGGGGCTTCCTCGGATGTCGTCTTTATTATATTTAAACCCCCTTTACTCCCCCTTTGTTAACTAGTTTATCAACAATATATTTACTATGATTCAATAAGAATTTTAAAAAAAATTTATAGTGAGAAAAGGGGGAACTAAAATGATAAAATTCTGATTGGTCAAGACTTGTGAAGATTCTTTTGTCTATAGCTACTTATATTTGCCTGGTCTTATCATCCAATATTTCGTCTGCTTGCAGTTAGACTTCATCAGAGAATGAGGTTATGGTGGCTAGGTGTGACAACCTATCACCCCCTCTGGTGTGCTATTCGGTCAGACCCCCCCCCCCTTGGCCTGCCCATCCCTTAGGAGTGGTAGGTAGAGGTTGGGTAGCTCAGCCCCATCATTCCGATTCAACTTGGCCCCATGTACGCGGATGTTAATCGCTTCAAGAACTTTCCAGTGTAAGTCCCGTGCCTCTCTTTCCAAGATTTTTGCTGGTAAGACAAAAAATCTTCAAAAGTCTATTACAATAACATAGCTAATGAAACTGTTCTACACTGATTGGTCAATTTCTAGTTACATCATGTGCGTAAGATCTATGGACTGCTGTGTATGAGTGTTGTAATGATAACACATTGACAGCTGACCAAAAAACGGTGTCATAAAAAACATACCGCAAACTTTGTGTTGCACCCCAGTGCCGTAATCAAGGAATCAATAAAAAAGACGTCAGCTATTTTTCTTCGTATACAGCAAAATGTCAAATTTGGATCAATGCTTTGAAGTAAAAGAAGTCCAAGCGAAGTGTCGAAACATGCTAGAATCTGTAATAGTCGAGCCCGAATACTGCAAATGTGAAAACCTATCCCGTCAGGCAAACGACATTGATTCTACGTTGATTCAACGTTGATCCACCAAAATTAACGTTGATTCAACGGTGAATCAATGTCGTTTATCTGCTGGGTATGTCAGCTGTGCTGCTGCCTAACCTAACTATAAACATAGAATAGCGGCGTTTGCTTTTGTTGATTTTTAAATAATACCCATGTTAAGGGTTTTTCTCTTCTTTTGTGTGAAAAAAACTTGTTGTAGACCTGGAGTTGAAGTAACCGCGTCCGAAAATGAATTATCTGAATGGCTTCACGCGCTTCGACGCTGCTTGCGTCACTCTACAGCCTATTTCAATGCAGAGCCAACATGCAGGCGTATCATAAAGTAGATACACACTCGTATAAAATTTGTTTACAACTAATAAAATGAAATCACTTTTTTAATTGATCAAAAATGATGGTTTAAACCCATTTTTCAACACTGTACGTGTATGCCTTTAAACCTAGCTGAGAGAGGATGACATCCTCCACCGTCCAAACATATGAATTAGTGTGGTAATGAAGATACTAGTAGCTAGGTACTGTAGTTGTGTGAGTGTGGAGTCGTGAACTGTTGTTTAAAGTAGCCTAAGTAAGACTACTCGTCAGCGAGGGCTATGTGACAACCACTCGTGCATATAACTCTCACTGACTTAGGGTCTATCTATTACTTCACTACACACTGGGCAATGATGTCGCTGTGATTTCGGGAAGGCCGGCATCCATTTATAGATTATATTCTTCTCAGGTGCGATTTAGGCAACTTATTTGGCACATGAACTCACCTATCGCATGTAATCACAGATTATACATTATGTACTCGTAAGCCTGAGAATTCAGCATCTGTGACCGAGACACTTCCATCACGCAGCATTTGGAGAGCGAGGAGGGAAAGAGACAGAGACCACCGAGAAGCTCCGCTAAAATGGCAAAGCTTTGTGGAGTCCTTTGTTTCATTGCTTGGTTACGTAAGTAGGTCATTTAAGAAACTTGTTTGGCGGTATGGTATTTATTATTGTATAAAATAAAATGGCTTCAATTGCGATGGCAGGTTATGAACTTTAAACACGTTGGTCCTAAAGATAGTGCCGCAATTACAAAATTAGAAAAAATAGTTAATGGCAAAACGTCACAAAAATCTATCTATAGACTTTAATTGAAATGAATGGTGTCTCCCACGCATTTCACCAAAAAAAAAAAAGAAAATTAATTAAATTTTAACATAATAAAAAGAAATAAAATAACATAGTATTAACATGACAATAGTAACATTGCAAGTATAAAACAGTGTTTGATATTCCTGTGCTGAGGGTGACATAAAACTGTAGTCCACCACCTATGTTCCAAGTACTGAGCACTCGGTTGTTAACGTGTGAGATAAATGTTCATGGCATACATCCGGAGAGGGTAACAGTGTAATATTTGTCACACATACCGAGAAAAAACACTGTCATTTCACCCTAAAACACCCCTAAAACTGAATAAAGTGACCCTATATCACGTTCTAGAGATATTATATGGAATAAACTCGTCCACGTGCGCAGGTCACCTCCTGCCAAATTCTAACGTAATGTCTGACAAATTTGGTCAATTTTTGCTAAATACTTGTTGTGGAAGTTCAACTGGCTTGAACAAAATTCAATCAACCATCGACGTCGACCATGTGCAACTAGGCTAGACCAGACCTATCCCCGTAGCATGGACTGCTGCGGAACGAGAAGTTATCTACAACTTCTTGAGGATTGATAATTTCCCTCCCTGCTTAAAAAGATTGATAACAAAGCCGATCCGTAACTTTTTTTGAATTTTCTTTCAACTTAATATGTTAAGAAAACAAAACAGAGATTCGCGCCACTCGTAATCCAACTAAATAACCCATACTGTCTGCCCTCATCATCTTTTTAAATACCAACCATTCATGTTTCCCGTTCTAGTGTTCACAGCCCAGGCGTCTTGTCCAGATAAGGAGTCACAACTACAACTATGGAGACCCGGAAATAACCCGGCCGCTGACGTCATAATCCCCAAAGGCAAACGTTATCTGTTGGACAGGTCGACAACAGTTAAAAGCATTACCATTCAGGATGGTGGTAAATGTTTTATATCATTTATTTATCATTTTATCTATTTATTCATTTGAGTGCCCGAATGGTTTTTGATACGCATTGTTTCACACAGAATGTGTTTTAATATTTTATGGTCATATGCAGTTCTGACCTTACGTACGTCCTGATATAATTCTTTTTCGTATCTAATTTATTCCATTTTACGTTTAATGTAGGTATACTGTTATACAGTACAACGTTAACGTGACACGATTCTTGATCTCTGCAATTCTTGTTGTCGCATTTAATAAATACTTTTTATTTGCATCACTGATATCTTGCCAACAAATCACAAACACGACGACTGGTATAACTAAACGTTCATGAATATCTTGCAGGAAAGCTGGTGTTCAAGGATGGTGTGGCGCCAATTGTCGTGAAGACTAAACACATTCTTGTAGAGGATGGCGGAGAGATGCATATTGGTAGTCCTGATTGTAGGTAGGATGAAAGTCAGCGACTCACGTGTTGTGAATAGACGACTTACTTGTAAGCCCCACTGCGCATTGGATGTCTCAATTATTTAAAAACCCTATAGTAGTGTTCTTAAAAATATATGCAGCCTTTTCCGTATACAATTTCATCTTAAAACTTTAATTTAATTTAATTTTATTATTATTATTTTTTTTACTTAAGGATTTGCAAAGTTGGATCCAGCGGGACATACCTATATTGTACCCCCTCCCAGACATTGGAGGCCCGCTTTTCTCCCCCACCCCAAAATAAGAAATACACAATACTGCAATTTGCCAAGTGCCTTGTACAATATTAAAAAGCCATGTCTATCATTAACAATACTGCCTACTAAGATTCTAAATAATACCTACATTACTTGGGTCTCGTTAGTAAACATCCGTATAATATGTTTTAATAAAGTTTTAAAATGAGCAATATTTGTAAACGGTCTTTGGTAAATCTATTCCATATTTTTTTCTAAAGCAAACCATTTATACAGAAAATGTTGGACTTCAGACTGTCCATGAGTATCTCGTAAATGAGCAAAAATGTTACCATTATCTTGGTAATTGGATCATAATGAAAATTATCAATTATCAAATTTAGGCTTGCGTTTGATAATTTTCATGTATCATTTATACAGATATCAGGGGAACGTGACCATCGTCCTGCAGGGCAAGTCTACTGATGCGGGGCAGGATCCAAACTTTGGTAAGAAGTTTATAGGCGTTACTAAAGGCGGTACCTTGGAAATCCACGGCAAGGCAAAGACCGCCTGGACTTTTCTGCAGGGACACCTGACAGGTAAAGTGAACATAACGCCAAGGTTAAAAACATAAATGTCTTATGATGCATAGATATTGTTGCTTCTTTCACAGGTACACTATACTACATCCCTGAGCAAAAAGTATACTGTCAATACAAATTTTGCAACTACTTAAGTTAAGCAACACTGTAATTACACTGTCACAGAATTGCCATGCGCACCAGTCCTTACCTAGTTTAATACCAGTAACCACCAGTATGTGCCTGACGTGTTTATATATGACGTCAACAATGAATAATTGCTCATTTATTTCAAGGCCCACTGGCTGAAGGAGCCGTCAATGACCCATGGGTGAGCCGAGGGTTAAACGTCCGTGTTATAGACCGGCTGTCTGGTAATACTACAGAACGCCAGGCATTCGACACGTACTACGACCAAACAGCCTCGCAGCGCCTGGTTGACTTCCTGAAGAAACAAAAAAGTAAGGACGAAATTAATTCACAAACTTCTGCGTCACGCTGTCATTTAATGGTTGTTTGATGTCATACACTTTGGGTGTCTACGTATACTATAATTTATACAGTGTATACTTGTGTTCGAAGGTCATTCCACTGTTTATTGTCAAGCCAATTCATGAACTATTTCAACTCGCTCCTTCACTGGTATTTAAATTATGGATAGTAAAGACTTTGATGGATCGTTTGTTAGATTCGTTCAACGTGATGAATTGATACTAAAGAAAACGAACGCAATATTAGGCCAAAGAGAGACACATATCTCGCAGTTTATAACAATCAATGCAGTAACAAAAATGTATAACTTAAGATAACAATATGTGTCACTCACGCATAGATGGAGACATAATCGTAATATTAGCCGTTGACGAAGCTTCTACAAAGCTGAGCAAGGATGCCAAAGACTTTCTTACCAACATGGGGAGCAAAGAGATTGGGAATCTTCGCTATAGGTAAGTCAATTATATATTGCTGAATAAAAATCAATCTCATTTAGGGTAAATGTGCTCTTAGGTTATAAAGTAAAATAATGTCCAGTATGTTTTATTTTGGTGATCAAAACTTGAATGTCTAGAGAGTCGTGACTAATCAAGTAAAATGTCAGTTATGCATCAAAGAAATTTATGTAAATTTATTTAGAGTTGCTATATATGATTATATGGTAGCTTCGCCATAGAGATTGCTGATTTTTTAAAAACAGTGAGATCTTAATAAGTGAGTACCATTCAGTGTACGCTGGTTAATCCTATTTGAAACCAAAACTGTTTTAAGTGTGCATGCTTGTGCGTTTGTGTATGTGTGTGTGCGCGCGTGTGCTTGTGTGTCTATGTAATTTATAGGGAAGGGTGCTGAGAGATTGCTAAATTTTCCAAAATTAGTGTGAGCTTAATAAGTGGGGATCATTCAGTGTACGCTGTTTAATTTTTCCTGAAACAAAAACTGTTTTAAGTTTGCGTGCGTGCGTTCGAGTGTGCGTGTGCATGTTTGTTATCAAATAATAGTCTAATAAGCACAGAAATGTTGTCTTTACTAACATTAAGGGACCCGTGGACGTTCATTACAATTAAAGGCACGCCGTCAGAAACTGTTGAACAAAGAGTGAAACACATCGGTAAGTGCTTTTTATTACGTTTTATTATATGTATACCTCATTTCTGCCTACCTTATATATAGGGTGCTTATCCGATAAGGGACTAGCAGGGAATACTGGTATTTGATTAATCAATATATCTGCAGCTTTTTCTTGTACTGTGCCTAATTAAGACAGAAGAGAAAACCGCTGAAAAAAAATAAAGTCGTTTGACAGCCATTTGGGGTTGAGGGTGGTTAAACTACCTTTCATCAAAAGAACAAGATCCAAGACTGGGCCCCTGGGGACGTGTGGTTTGACATCGCCCCTAGTGAAATCTTTGAGCTTACTTTTGGGACGCTCGAGTTTGGGTCAATTTTCTATAGAATCCTATAGGCTATTATAGTATCCCATTGGATTTTTTGTAAGGGAATTTGTTGCATTTTTTATTTAATTGAGCATTATGGTATCGCTTTTCCTGAACATGAATAGCCCTGAAAGGCGCTGTTTGTATTTTTGCTGCAGGATTACTTCATGCGTTTCAGAATGGCTGCTGATCGGCATTTCAACTTGGTCGAGGTGACCACTCTCTTCTTTTTTTGCTTTCATAGTACGGAGTAAGGGTCGGACTTGTTCTAGGATGTCAGGGTTGGCACTGGGTGTTGGTTGGGTGCCGGAGCGGATTTTATAAGTTCTGTGTATTTTGAAAAAAATCTACTTTGGCTTCCCGGGCCAGAGCCTTCGCGTTTTCGTTGGCTTTTTTGTACGCGGAGTTCGATGGTTTCCCTTTTCGTGGCCGAGGTCTTTTCTTGTATTCCAATAAGTTTTGTTGTATAGCCCTTCATAGTCAGGACACCCTCTAGGTTATCGTTAGCAGTTTTCACGAATTCCTCTACATGGAGTTCGATGGTTTGACTTATTTGTGCTGAAGTATTGTCTTGGATCTCAATCAGCTTTGTGGTGCGGTCTTCGTGGCCAGGGCATCCTTTAAAGNAACATGAATAGCCCTGAAAGGCGCTGTTTGTATTTTTGCTGCAGGATTACTTCATGCGTTTCAGAATGGCTGCTGATCGGCATTTCAACTTGGTCGAGGTGACCACTCTCTTCTTTTTTTGCTTTCATAGTACGGAGTAAGGGTCGGACTTGTTCTAGGATGTCAGGGTTGGCACTGGGTGTTGGTTGGGTGCCGGAGCGGATTTTATAAGTTCTGTGTATTTTGAAAAAAATCTACTTTGGCTTCCCGGGCCAGAGCCTTCGCGTTTTCGTTGGCTTTTTTGTACGCGGAGTTCGATGGTTTCCCTTTTCGTGGCCGAGGTCTTTTCTTGTATTCCAATAAGTTTTGTTGTATAGCCCTTCATAGTCAGGACACCCTCTAGGTTATCGTTAGCAGTTTTCACGAATTCCTCTACATGGAGTTCGATGGTTTGACTTATTTGTGCTGAGGTCTTGTCTTGGATCTCAATCAGCTTTGTGGTGCGGTCTTCGTGGCCAGGGCATCCTTTAAAGTCTACCCTGGCTCTGACCTGGTGCACTCCCCTTGCCAGCTGTCTGTTGATGTGGTTATAGCCCACTCAGCGCATCCGGCGATGTACTGTTTCGTTTCCTTCACCTCCTCGTGGCGTTGGTTGTTGTAAGTGCGTGGGGAGCTCAGTGGTGCAGGTCGCGTAGGTATTCTAGCTTTTAGAGGTTCCGTCGTGTGTCACTTTTTGGATGCCAACTGTCCTTTATAATAAATGATACTTCCAATTTAACATGCCCGTGTTAAATTAAACTACTAGGTAGTCTTACTACAAATCATTACACAGATTATACGTATATGGGTTTATACATAAAGCACTAACTTGTTCTTACCCCTGTGTCCGAGAGGGTGTTGTTTAATGACTGAAACGGCGAATTACAAAACAAGAGGATGTCTGTAATCTAAGTCTAAAAGAGAAATGAATAACAGCGGTGAAAACACTTCTATAGCAAATACAAATACATTGTACGATAGGAATATACGAAAAGATAGAAACTGAAATACTACATCAACCATCTCACCCAACACAAGGTACTGTTAGCCTTTTTGTCGTCTCAGTGCTTGAAGGCTAAGGCTTTAGATATCGAACGGTCACGTGATGTGTGACCAGATGTCAAGATGACCATGTATAAAGAGATGGAGAGCACTCGAGAAGTACTTAGCACAGTCACGACAGTCAACACAGAAGTATACAGAAAATGTGACCAATCATACCACACTGTCACATTCTCCCCAAACAATTGAAATGTCGCCTCAACATTAAAACACACGTAAATAACAACACACTGTTAGTAGATTTCAAAAGACATTTCAACTTCAATTATCCTTCATCAGTCTAATAATATCTTCGCAAAGTGTACTTTTATGTCCGATAAATATTACATCATTCACAAAGTTTCTCAACATTGTAACTCTGGCTTTCCAGTCTGTCTTTCCTTCCGACTCGGCAATTTGCGAGTAACTTATAAAATCACCAGAACTCGTCCACGCTGGCGGTTTTCTTACTCTGCTACTCATCCGTGGAGCAGGAATTGGTCGGTCAACAGCGACTTCATCAGTATTTTATTCTGCAACATTCAGCAGTTGAACATCCGTTGTATCTTCGGTATCTTCACTGATTCTCCCCCACTAATTCTCTGAAGATTCATCTCTCACGTTACTTGATTTGTAACCTTCTCTATCCTCGGGGAGTAAACGTTGATTGAGAGGAAAAAACAGATCATCATCATCGATTGTAACGTACCCACTTTCATAATGAACACTCTCTGACTGTGTCAGCCCGGGAGCCACTGAGCTGCCGCTAGGGGGACTTTAGAGAAACCGGAAGTTTACGTATTTTGAATTGACCAAAATTTCGAGTATTTAGATGGTATCAAAAAGGGTGAAATATCTCAGCTATTAAGGTACCAAATGCATCATTATTTATATTTACATTTTTAAAAANTGTATAGCATTTTATCCGTGTCTCGTTTAGAAGTTCTCTTTCTGGGTACAGGTCTTTTTGCAAGTTCAGAAATTGGAAGAAGTAAATTTCTATACAACACACGTTTTTTACCCTCCTTGTTTTCTTTTTGTACAACATACACAGGAATTTCACCATTAGGTTGAGATGAAAGCAATGTATGGCTCATTTTCCCATATATCTGCGATTTTGTGCTTACCTTGGTACAGTGCCGCCGGAAAGTAACATTACTTACTCTGCGGGTCCCTGCGGGATGTTCATACGGCCTGGCACGGTAACGATGGAAATAACATTGTCATCCATGCGCTGTTTGGTTTCTGTTAATAATATTCTTTCTTGCTTTGTTCATGGAGGAAATATATTTTTTTCCAAAAAGACTTGTCAGTTGTTTCGGTAATAAACATTTTGTAGGCCATATATTTGATATATTTAAGTCTATATTTGTATATTGGATATCTTCCCTCTACACCTGTAACATTTCTGTCCTTCCGAATTCGTTCATCAAAACTTAACAAATCCCCATTACCTGCACGCATAAGTTGCCTAGGGAGTCGTCGTATATCAAAATTGTCTTTATTCGACAAGGCAAAGAGTGGCTGGCTGAAGGACTGAAAACTTGGTTCTGTCGCAAACAAAGTAGGAGGTGTGTATGTGGCGGTGGTAATATTGTACATGTAGACCTCAGCGCCCCGTTTAAAAATAACCAGGTACATTAAACGGTCTGTATGATGACTTCGAGTTAGATTTAGAATTATATTTACATACGTCTAAAATATTATATAAAAAGTTTAATAGCTTAAATTTTGATACAATGTTTCTCTTTTGTTGTTTGATTTTAACTCTGTACCTACAGGTATGTAATTTAAAACAAAAAAAAAGTTCTTGTTTACGTTCCGAACCCCAAACTTAATCAAAAGCCTTCTTCATACCTAAAAGCATCAAGGCAAATTAATTTAAGAAGCTGGGTTACAATCTCTTGGGTTAGCTTCACTGTTTGTCATCTCAACTGAATCAAAACCTTGGTCCACATCCATCACCATAGCACCCGTTACTCAGCCTTTGTCTATTGCCAGTTATGCGCTTTCAGCTAGTCTTACCACATGTTCCATTCCTTCTTTCTTACTCAGTTACGCTCTTTGCCATTACTTTTTCTATAGAGTCGGTATTGATACCTGGTGATTTTTGTACAGTATATCTTACGTGTTTCTAGGCTACACAACGATGCACTATGCTCAAACTGAGAAACAGCTCACCAATGCCAATGGCCAGTTCCGGGTCTTCGTCAGGAGCGGATGGGACGGTAAGTTATGTAAAATGAATGAATTTATGGCCTGATTTTAATCTCGTGGACCACATCTTTTATGTACTGTATGAATAAACAGCATTTTTATCAAAAACGTTAAGGCGCAGGTACATTTGAATCCGAATCAAATGGCACCACAGGTTTGAGTTATTCCGCATAAACCATTAACCTATCAATTCTATAATGACAATGCTTTATTCCTCCCTAAAAAGTGAATTACTTGGTGGAATGTTTTGCAGTCATGCAGTAACAAAAAATGGGGAAAGTCCATTGACGTAATTTGTAACTGGTAAGAAAAATGGCGGGAGTCATAAGAGAGTCAAGAGCAAGCTTCATTGGCTACATGTCCTTCACATCAGCATATAATAAATTTAGAATTAATATAATATATAGCTATGAAGATCTTAGCTCGTCGACCAAGTCTAACCTGATATAAGGCATACCTAACGGTATGAACTTTTTTCTATTGATAATCAAAATAAAAGCTACACGTATTTATGGAAATTAATATATTACCATAAGACATATTTTGTATTCGTTCATAACAGGTCCAAACAAATGGGCCAGCGGTCTATTTGAACTGACTGACGTAACGGATGGACACGTGATCACACTGGCAGATGACGTCAGCAGTTGGAAGGAAGGAGATCGTGTAGTTATCAGCAGCACTGACATTTCCATGTATCAAGCGGAAGAGTTTGTGATTGGAAAATGTGACACATGTAGTCGTTATCAAGTCAAGATTATGGGTGTGTTACTGCTTCTAAAGACGAAATCATCATTATGTTACCTGACTTTACCTCTATATTCATTGACATTTTTTCAAGAGGAGAGAAGCAAGCTGTTCTCTTTCTACACTATTTACATAATGACTCCTTTTTTTCTGGTGCACTTCATGTGCTTTTTTCTTATTTTTTACTGAATGTGATTATATGTAGAAGTTTAAAAAGTAAATTGTGATATAGAATAGAGATAACTAGCCATAATTCAACTTTAATTCCGATAAGGATAAATAATTTTTTAAATATTCTGAATTTCTTCCTTCCAACCCCTTACGAATAGAAAACAATGAAAATAGTGCACTAGTATAAGTGTCGGAAGTGAAAACAGAATCCTTTGTTTTTGATTGATTTATTCTGGCATGGTGAACAGGTCTTTACATAATTATCCCTGATAACACTTTGTTTCAGGTCGAGTAAACTATGTCCATTTTGGCGGCTCTTCCTATGGTGTTGATATGCGGGCTGAGGTCGGTTTACTAAGCAGAAATATAGTTATCAAAGGAGAAATGGAGCCGAAATGTTATGGGGACAATTTCTGCCAGTTCTTCGACTACGACACGTTCGGTGGCCATTTGAAGGTAATGTTATACCCTGCTAGTAATTTTGAACAAAACGGCCGATTTCAATTTTAATGGTGTTATCGATTCCTACGAATCCGATAAGATATATTGCCTTTTTGTGGTTTACACGTGTTTTAATGGAAATGGGTTGGCTTCATAAATTAAAATACAAATTTTAAGCAAATTCCAATAATTTAAGTTGGCAACGATGGCCATTATTCGTTGATTTTAGATGTTTCTTTCGTCTTTATTTAATGTTCTTTTTTAAAGATTTTGAAAGGCTTCAAATCTGTCCATCTGTCCGGGGTGGAGTTTTTCAATATGGGCCAACAAATCCCTGGCAGTTACCCTATTCATTTCCACATGTGTGGTGACGTGGACGAACTCGGTGGCTACACGAACCCTACCTGGGTTAAAGACCTGTCCATCCACCACTCCTTCAGTCGATGTGTCACAATCCATGCCACTAATGGACTTTTGGTAAGTAGTAGAAAGTACCTCAGTATCTTTATACTGCTAGCGATACTTTGTCGTACAGTTATATAACGGAATTGATCGTTGATTAAGCTCCTTTCATACCAAGCTTGCCACCGTATATTTAAAGAACGAATATGACACATTCTCACAATAGTGAAAGTGGATTTAAATCCATTCTTCAAGCAGTAGCAAACCTGGTGTGACAGGGGATATAGAGCATTGTATAGTGCCCCATGAATTTTCGAAATTTGCATTATTTTCAAGCCCTACTCGGCCGTGCTTTCTAGAATTGCATTCCCAAAATTTTAACAAATGTAAATTGCATTATCGGATACCTTAGGTTCAAAATGTCGTTGGCTACGATGCACTGGGTCATTGCTTCTTCCTGGAGGACGGCAATGAACAAAGGAACACTCTGGACCATAACCTGGGTCTCCTCACCAAACCGGGCACCATCCTGCCTTCTGATAGAAATACCAAGATGTGCAAAGCTATGAAAGATAATGTTATTGCGGGATATACGCCTTCACCTGGGGGTTGCAAGTTAGTGACTTTCTTTCTGTCCAAGCGACCTTTCGTTTTCTACTTCGTGCTCTTNTGATGACTTCGAATTAGATTTAGAATTATATTTACATACGTCTAAAATATTATTTAAAAATTAAATAGCTTAAATTTTGATACAATGTTTCTCTTTTGTTGTTTGATTTTAACTCTGTACCTATGTAATTTAAAACGATAAAAATAGTTCTTGTTTACGATCCGAACCCCAAACTTAATCAAAAGCCTTCTTCATACCTAAAAGCATCAAAGCAAATTAATTTAAGAAGCTGGATTACAATCTCTTGGGTTAGCTTCACTGTTTGTCATCACAACTGAATCAAAACCTTGGTCTACATCCATCACCATAGCACCCGTTACTCAGCCTTTGTCTATTGCCAGTTATGCTCTTTCAGCTAGTCTTACCACATGTTCCATTCTTTCTTTCTTACTCATGTACGCTCTTTGCCATTACTACTTTTTCTATAGAGTCGGTATTGATACCTGGTTATTTTTGTAGAGTATATCTTACGTGTTTCTAGGCTACACAACGATGCACTATGCTCAAACTGAGAAACAGTTCACCAATGCCAATGGCCAGTTCCGGGTCTTCGTCAGGAGCGGATGGGACGGTAGGTTATGTAAAATGAATGAATTTATGCCCTGATTTTAATCTCGTGGACCACATCTTTTATGTACTGTATGAATAAACAGCATTTTTATCAAAAACGTTAAGGCGCAGGTACATTTGAATCCGAATTAAATGGCACCACAGGTTTGAGTTATTCCGCATAAACCATTAACCTATCAATTCTATAATGAATTACTTGGTGGAATGTTTTGCAGTCATGCAGTAACAAAAAATGGGGAACGTCCATTGACGTAATTTGTAACTGGTAAGAAAAATGGCGTGAGTCATAAAAGAGTCATGAGCAAGCTTCATTGGCTACATGTCCTTCATATCAGCATATAATAAATTTAGAATTAATATAATATATAGCTATGAAGATCTCAGCTCGTCGACAAAGTCTAACCTGATATAAGGCATATCTAACGGTATGAACCTTTTTCTATTGATAATCAAAATAAAAGCTACACGTATTTATGAAAATGAATATATTACCACAGGACATATTTTTGTATTCGTTCATAACAGGTCCAAACAAATGGGCCAGCGGTCTATTTGAACTGACTGACGTAACGGATGGACACGTGATCACACTGGCAGATGACGTCAGCAGTTGGAAGGAAGGAGATCGTGTAGTTATCAGCAGCACTGATTTGTCCATGTATCAGGCTGAAGAGTTTGTGATTGGAAAATGTGACGGGTGTAGTCGTTATCAAGTCAAGATTATGGGTACGTTGCTACTTTTATAGATGAAACCATCAGTATGTTACTTGACTTTACCTCTACTCATCGACACTTTTCAAACGAACTCAAGCAAGATATTCTCCCTCCACACTAGTTCCATATTGACTTTTTTTTCTTATGCACTTTACTTACCATTCTTTCTAATTCTAACTAAACTTGATGATGTGTTTTAATTTTAAAAGTAAATTGTTACATATAAATCGCTTCGCCATAATTCAACTTTGACCCTGGTAAGGATAAAACATTTGTGAAATATTCTGAATGTCTTCCTTTGTACTACATTCAACCCCTTATGTAAAACAATGAAAATAGTGCACTAGTATAAGTGTCGAAAGTGAAAACAGAATCCTTTGTTTTTGATTGATTTATTCTGGTATGGTGAGCAGGCCTTTACATAATTATCCCTGATAACACTTTGTTTCAGGTCGAGTAAACTATGTCCATTTTGGCGGCTCTTCCTATGGTGTTGACATGCGGGCTGAGGTCGGTTTACTGAGCAGAAATATAGTTATCAAAGGAGAAATGGAGCCGAAATGTTATGGGGACAATTTCTGCCAGTTCTTCGACTACGACACGTTCGGTGGCAATTTGAAGGTAATGTTATACCCTGCTAGTAATTTTGAACAAAACGGCCGATTTCAATTTTAATGGTGCTATCGATTCCTACGAATCCGATAAGATATATTGCCTTTTTGTGCTTTACACGTGTTGTAATGGAAATGGGTTGGCTTCATAAATTAAAATAAAAATTTTAAGCAAATTCCAATAATTTAAGTTGGCAACGATGGCCATTATTCGTTGATTTTAGATGTTTCTTTCGTCTTGATTTAATGTTCTTTTTTAAAGATTTTGAAAGGATTCAAATCTGTCCATCTGTCCGGGGTGGAGTTTTTCAATATGGGCCAACAAATCCCTGGCAGTTACCCTATTCATTTCCACATGTGTGGTGACGTGGACGAACTCGGTGGCTACACAAACCCTACCTGGGTTAAAGACCTGTCCATCCACCACTCCTTCAGTCGATGTGTCACAATCCATGCCACTAATGGACTTTTGGTAAGTAGTAGAAAGTACCTCAGTATCTTTATACTGCTAGCGATACTTTGTCCTACAGTTATATAACGGAATTGATCGCTGATTAAGCTCCTTTCATACCAAGCTTGCCACCGTATATTTAAAGAACGAATATGACACATTCTCACAATAGTGAAAGTGGATTTAAATCCATTCTTCAAGCAGTAGCAAACCTGGTGTGACAGGGGATATAGAGCATTGTATAGTGCCCCATGAATTTTCGAAATTTGCATTACTTTCAAGCCCTACTCGGCCGTGCTTTCTAGAATTGCATTCCCAAAATTTTAACAAATGTAAATTGCATTATCGGATACCTTAGGTTCAAAATGTCGTTGGCTACGATGCACTGGGTCATTGCTTCTTCCTGGAGGACGGCAATGAACAGAGGAACACTCTGGACCATAACCTGGGTCTCCTCACCAAACCGGGCACCATCCTGCCTTCTGATAGAAATACCAAGATGTGCAAAGCTATGAAAGATAATGTTATTGCGGGATATACGCCTTCACCTGGGGGTTGCAAGTTAGTGACTTTCTTTCTGTCCAAGCGACCTTTCGTTTTTCTACTTCGTGCTCATGCCTCCTCTCTCTCTCTCTCTCTCTCTCAACAGGCAGTGTCCACAATAGTTTTATCTAACTGAATCAAAGCTTTGATCTTTATGCAGAGAATGATAATCCATAATAAAAAACAAGTACACGAACAACAATTTGTCATTATTTTTAGCAATATTACACGTTTGTTATATGTCTAGGGTTTGGATGGATGAAGTTCGCGAAAAACAAAATGCATCAAGATATAAGTTGTGGTATTTTGAACTGAATTACATGTCAAGCTATTTAATATTACAGCGCAGTAACCACATTCTGGATAGCCCATCCAAACAACACGTTTACCAACAACGCTGCTGGAGGTTCCGCGGCAAGTATACAACCCACAACAAACAGATACCATGACAAACGTTATTAATATGCATGCAAAAAATACTGACCACGGCTACAACTAATAAGTCAAAAATAATGCGGACCCCTGTTATACCCAGTATATCGAGAAAATAATAATTATTATCTTTCGTGTTTACAAACTCTCCGTTCAAACTCTCCGTCATATTGTATCAAAACTGAAGTCTGTTACAAAATCATTGTATCTAGCTTATACTTTCATTGTGTATACTATTTTAGAAATTTAGCTCTGATAACAGAGGGTAGGTATAACAGATCTTCTTGTATCTTAGCATATGCTCGGCATTAATGTGTAATTCATTATTTCCAGAGCGTTGGTTTCTGGTTTGTGTTCCACAGGGAACCCACTGGACCGTCTAAGGGAACGTTGCCAATGTTTCACTGTGAAAGGACCCCGATCAAAAAGTTCTCTAACAACAGGGCTCATTCAAATATGGGGAAGGTGAGTTGCATTGAACAGACTTGCTACATGTACCATACTATAAGTATAATTGAGGTAAGATGTGTGTACTGGACTTTTAGGTGAACTACCAGAACATCTATATTAAAACTGATGGATTTATATAATAAGTACATATACCAGTACATCTGTTTGAAATTTTCTTGAGATACGTACATGGACATTTTAAATCTCGTGAACGGTCATATTAGTTACTGGTAATTTAAGGCAGTTATAAGCACATAATTGTTTTGGTTAGTATTTAGTTAACGGATCTGTAAGAATCTGCATAACGAAATAATATATTAGAATAATCATTTATGTTATCGTATAGCAATTATTTGTTACGACACGAAGCAAAGATTTATAATGGCACAGACGCCACGTATAATTGATATTCTAATTTAACAAAACGTAAAAGTAAACCTGTTACCCCCAGCTTGTTCAAATTATTTTGGAGTGTGATTTGAAATTAATAACATGAAAAGCGCAATATGAGTGCGCACTGTCGTGTACTTCTTTGTTGCAGGCGTCATTGATGTTGGATGACGGTGTGAAGACGTCACCCTCTTCGTCACGGTCACCAGCTGAGTATTTATCCATGACCGGGGCAAGGTGCGCGCATTTGGTGTTATAAATTGGAAACTCTGGGATTAGCACTGGCTATATGAAATATGTTTTTTCTTTAAATTTATATAACACGATTAAGTGCAAAGTGCGATAGGATACACCGCGACTGCAGGTTAAGACGAAACATGTCAATGAAACTCGGATGGTTCTTCTGAAATTGATTAATGATACATGTAAATTAAGGAATATGTATTTTGTTAATAATGATAATTGGAGGTGAATTTGATTAAATCATTAAGTCTCAAAACAGCAGTGGGATTACTTTGATCAATAACTGAAATAAGGTACTATTGATGAGCAGAAAACAAAGAGTGATCCACGAGCAGTTAATTATAAATATACGTTTAGATTATAACATCTTAACCTGTAATAAAACAAAAGACACTGTCATCTAAGCTCAAGTATGTTAAACCTTCATTTTATTTTATTTTTTTCATTCATTTATTAATCTGCCTATTTTTTACCTGCAATAAGGCACGCTCCTCACGTTGACGCCGATATCAACAAGCCGAGATCCCCCTCTATAGTGGACCGCTTTACGGCTTACAAGTCACCGACTTGGGGGATTTGGGCCCGTGGGGGTGATATAATAATCCAAAACTCAAGGTAGTGTACACAAAACATAGATTTTCTTTTCATTTCAGTATATTTATTGGTGTGAAATTTAAATTATTTGTGGTAAAAAAACGGGGGGGTTTGGACGCGCAGGACAATACAGTAATTTATGATTTTCTAAAAATTATTATGTGTATACAAAATCATGGGTGCTTCTGAAGTTGTTGATCGGTTGTTCCACATATAGGAAGCATGTCAACTTTTTATATTGAACAAATGAATGAATAAGGCCATGGCCAATTACTGGAAATGTGTTGTTAAGTAGTACATGTATATAGTGAAAATAGTACATAAAATGTTAGGATCAGACGCTTTTCTTCGGATGTTTCCATTAAAAACTGCGAGAGAAAAAAAAGATTCCTTTTTTTATAAAAATAAAAAAAATCTTGATTGAATACATATATGTTCCTCATTCTGAATACTACTTAATAAACATTTAAAGCAAGCAGTAAGCAGTACATAATATTTTCATTATTTAATGATATCATTAGGTTTACATGTTCTACAATTATCTGTTTAGGTTTTCTGACATCACAACTGCGGTCATCTTAGCAAGGTATCGTACCGACTTTTTTTTTACTAAATGGCCTATTATTTCCCCTTTATATCCGTATATTTCTATGATAATCTCAGTTGTAAGTCGAAAATGGAAAATATTTTGGATATGATCTCTTTGTACCACCATCTGATCTGTTCTTAATATCGTCAACAGTTCTTCTTAAGATGTCGATGGGTTAGAGAGCTTCATTAAGCCATTCACAATTACTGCATTCTTTCCCATTACAGTGAAGGTGTCACCCCATTCGACGCCGGCAGTCACCAGACTATCCGAGACACCATATTTGTTGGCGAAAGTGAAAACAGGGGGTCAAAGAATTTAAACGCATGGAACGGGAATTGGGTTGCTGGCTTTGACGGAAAGATGCGAATGATGCCCAGTGACAAGTAAGAGGAATACAGTTAAAGCCTTAGCAAATGTGTCAAATACGAATGATTGGCCCCAGTGTCGCTGTCTCAAGATGAAACATTAAATATGTTCAAAGCGAATTTGTTGCCAAATCAACGAGACATCGGACTGAATAAAACTGTTGTCTCGAATCTAATGAAACTAGGTTAGATTGAAGCAGCTTATTAGGTTTGCTTACCGTTACATCCACCTTATAGTCTTGTGTACTCATTATTAATTTATCTTAAAGCAAGGGCATATCATACAATATGTACTAGCCAGTATGTTTTCTCAAGCAAGGTTATATAAAGTGTTCCGCACTGTAATCGTGAACATTTGTTTAAATGTTAATGATATAACATGCAAATGTTATATAAACTAATGTGTCAGAGAAGTAAATCTCATATAACAATTTGTTTAAAACTAATGTGAGCATATGAGGAACAGTATGCAGTTTATAACTTATTGGAAACACATTTACTATTAGTTCACACTTACTAGTAAATAAGCGGGTAAAAATACATTGATTCCAATTTACAGAACAAATCCCAAGAGAGCTATTGCAGTATATGACGGCCCAATTTCTATAGAAAGGTGTCAGTTTAAGCGCTACGTGAGTCAATACAACAACGCTACGGCCGCCATTGGGTTCCTCCTGCGGAACGGCTGGCAGTTGGCTACGACAAGCAGATTCACTGGCATCTCCTTTGATGACGTAGTAAGCAAGGATTGGCTGATTGATAATCATTTTCTGTCATATGAACTGGTGTAGTACACTTTTCATTTATATAATAATAAAACTATTTTGATATAGTTACTACCCGGTATAAAAATTCCAAAGTAATTATTTGCACTGGGGATGGAAATTACCCACTTGTATCAAAGACATTTGTCCTGAAGGATTCTTAACTATTATGGAGCAATTTCTTAGAGGGTCCTATTAGACACTATAGGACATTTAAGGATTTTGGGTCAATTTAGAACGGCCGTTAGAACCCTACACAAAATTTCTGACAGGGTTCATTTATGAGTTAGCTTTGGAATTGATTATTCAGACTCGCCATACATGGGTCGGGCGTGTTCCTACTGGGTATTACGCCTCCAAACCAGACAGAGACGGCGACAAAACAGAGATTTTCCACGACGAGGACGGCTCCGTCACTGGATACAAGGACTCATATGTCGTTCGAACGGACAACCATCTTCTGCGCCATGCTGGGTGTGTCGAAAAACCAGAGTGGAATGCCGCAGTCTGTAAAGGATCATATGCTCAGGTGAGTTTCAACTTTCTTTATATTACATTGCAGCAACTACCAGTAAGTACTGGCTGAAATGTGTACAAACTATTCTGAAAGTATTAAAACAGTGTAAGTTTACCCTATAAATTTCAGTAAATAGGAAATGCCATATCAGTCAAAGCCTAATCAAACAGTGTAAAAATGAAAAAAGCAATGGCAACAAAAGAGAGAGTGAGAGAAACAATAACAGAAAAACCCCATATGCAAATCGCACCTCACTCGTCGAAGAACAATTTAGGAATATTTTCCTCTACTCTGTAGATGTGGGTGAGAGCCAACACCAAGGTACTCCGAATGTCCATGACCCGGACCGACCACCCTGACAAACCGATTGAACTGGTCAGCCCGTGGAGAAAAGGCGGCGGAGTTTGGAACCAGTACCAGCCGTCCATGTTACTGGGGCAGACCTATACCATTCACTGGGACGGTACATCACCTGCTACCGTGCAGCTGCACCCCATTAACTTCAACAAGTAATGTTTTCCGTTCTATTTTTAACTTGTTTTCAGTAAGTAAAGGTAATACAAATTGAACAACCCATTTTTTAAAAACATATTTCACTTTTGATTTCTTCCTTAAAATTATTTATTTATTTATTTATTTATTTATTTATTTATCCGATTGTTTGTTTGTTTGATGGTTTGCTGGTTTGCTAACTTATGTATTTATTTATTTTTTTATATAACACCAGTAAGTGAATTAATTGCAAACACCAACAACTGAGTATAGCTATGTGCATGCCCAAAATTACCCTCGACTTTTAATACTGGCAGTAGTATTGATAGGGTGACAACAACAAAAGAACTTAAATTAAATCAGTATCAAAAGGCTGCAAGTTTTAATTATATATTAACTTACAGTCTTTTTTGCAATTTCAATTAAGATTTTTTTAAAATGTACTAGCAAACGAAAGGAATCAATGAATGCATGCTTCAATATTCGTAAATCAGCAAATAAATAGGTAACAATTAAGATACGTGTATATGTATATGTACTTTATTGAGAAATGCCCAACACCAAAAGCCAACTTTGAATCACGCTGCCTCTTAACTCTTCTGGCATCGTCTTCCAGAAACGACAATATAATCGTTGGGCTCTGTTATCCAATTGGAACAACCTTTAAAATCCAGTACCAGCGTCTGTACCAATGGCAGTCCATCAAACCTCTGACCGCTGCCACATCGCTGGCCGGGGTGAAAAATGGCGACGGAAGCGTTTATTTCTGGGATGCACAAGTCGGGTAAGACAGGGGCGGATTTAGGCCGTCTTCTGGGTCTTCCAGAAGACGGTCAGATTTTCAAGTTTACATTGACGGGTATCCAATTTTTAATGTTGGAAGACGGTCAAAATTGGAGGATGAATCAACAAAGATAATTTGGAAGACTGTCAGTATATAGCTCTGGATCCGCCCCTGTAAGAAGTTGTCTACATGTACAATGTACACGTATAATGCAAATTCCCATTCATTGTTTGACCTGTCCTGCCTGGACGCTGTTTTACAGTCTGTGGTAGGATCTATTTCAAATCGTGTTCACACTCTGCTTTAACATAGTGTTAAAAGTCCATATAGTTATTTCATGAGAGAGAGAGAGAGAGGTTCTTTCAATTAAGTGCCCCACCCCATTTTCACAAATGAAGCCAATGCACCTAATTCTCAACTCATGATTCGTAATACAATAGCGTGTACTTACATGTACTAAAATACATGTATATACATGTAAGTTAGGTGATATATTGTCACATCGTTTTACAGGCTTCTATTTCTGAAAATCACTACTGCATACAACAGAGAGGGGTGGAATTACTGCTCTACCCAGGGCTGTGAGTACATATCCATCGAGGCCACCATACCAAATGGCGCCACCAGCGTCTGCCCAGGACAGGCCTATCCGAAGTACCAACAAAGACCTGCCAGCATTTTAATCGGATAAATCAACCTAACGGACTGGTTCGCAAGAGGACTTTGGTCTGAAACTAGTTTTTTACTATTAGACCCGATTTTAGCCGATTTTTTAGCCTACTGTGACCCAAGATTAATTGTCACTTCCTTCATTTTTTTATCAAGAAAGACATGTGTTCCGTGTTTTAGACAAATGTATGTTATAATTTAGTTAAAGTAAACAGAGTTCTGGTTTAAATTAAAAAGACACTTTTGGGACAAATTTACCAACCAACCCCTGATACCAAATAGTGAAAGAAATTCTCGGAACATTGTTACGCTTGTCACTATGGCTTTAACTAATGTAAATACCAGTAACACACTTTTAAATAAAGCTTGAAAAATCAATGTGGCATCACAATTTTTCGAAAACAAAATGTTATAAATAAGAATGATACCAATTCACCATTATTGATATGACCAAGCAATCGCGCGCTGAGACGTTATGTGAACACCCGACAACAATTCCAACAATGAGTAAAGTCGTTTTAATTTCCAGTCAATATGTTAGGTCGACCCAAACTTATCGCACCTTTTATTATTTACGATAATTGATAGAAATTTGATTATACGTCACAGTTAAGATACGAAATAAAATTAAAATTTTAACTGGCTTTCTAGAAAATACCAGCATAATAAGACTGGAAAACTAACGCATGTAGCACTACAGCAGTCTTAATGGCACATGTATTAACAGACAGTTCATCATCGCTTATGTTTAGGGGGCTATCATAATCAGGAAATAAATCAGAAAAGTTTTAATTTAACTCGGATTGTGGTAGTTAATGTTAAAGAACAGGAGTCAAACAGAGCCAAAGTATGAAGTGACCGTCCAGAGACTGATGGAATGTGTCGCCACATGGCCAACTTTTGACGCCATTTGTGGACAAAATATGCCAACAGTACCACATCCTCCACACTAACTTGCCAACAGTTTCACTTTCATTTCAGAAGGCTTTAAATGCTCATATTTCCGCCTCGTGGTCTAAAGCGCTGTCCTGGCCTTGCTACGTTGAGAATTTAACGTTAACGATATACTGGATTCAGTATGGCTTTGACTTTCATATCGCCCCGCCCTGACAGAACTGCCATTAGCGAAGCGTTCTGTCTTGATGTGCAATAACTTCTTGAAGGCTCTCCTGATTCGTTTTGACTGCCAGGTATATATGGCAGGGTTCAGAGCAGAGTTTACCAGAACCAGACTGGAGGCGTATTTGTAGGCCTTAGTCAACACGTCCATGGGGACCGTATCACTGTACACATACACTCCCATTAACACGAGAGAGGGAAACCAACATAGCCCAAAAAAGCCAAAGATGATGGCGGCCATTTGGAAAATCTTCAGGTTGCTGTTTAGTCTTTGTCTGGCACGGGTCTCGGTGACGACGCGTCTGTTGCCATTTCTGTGAGCGATGTAGAACACCCTGCAGTACAAGCCAACTATAACGGCAGCGAGACACACGAACTGAGGAACGGCGAAATATGCCAGGTACTCCCTCTTGTTCATCTTTAATAAGTCGCAGTCTTTTCTTGTACCCCCATCAAAATCGTTGTGCCATATTAGCGGTATGACGAGAAACAATGAGATTGAGATTAGCCATATGGCAATGGAAGCACGGTGCACTCGAGATGACGTCATCATAATGGTGTACCGGAGGGGCGATGCTATAGAAATATATCTGTCCACAGCTATGGAGAGCAAAAACAATGTTGAAGCCATAGCCGTGGTGACTATACTGGAGAAACTGAAAGAAAGAAAAACGCGCATTTCAATTATTGCATTGCAAACAAACAAACAAACAAACAAACAAACAAACAATAAATAAATAAATAAATAAATAAACAAATGAAAATAAATAGATAAATATAAACATAAATAAACATGAACAAACAAACAAACAATGAATAAATAAATGAATATATACTCATTTAGAATGAAACAGTTATAAAGCAGATCAAGGTTTCTCAGTTGTTTTAGACATCAAGCAGATATCAATGAGAGCATCTTGGATGAAAATTCTCGTTCACGGATCACTTGTTAATGTAGAAGGGATAAATCAGCCATGTTTGAAAAACAGCAACAACATGACATTATGCATGTACATGTACTAGAATATCATTACGTGTCCGTACATTGCAGCCATAATTAGATCTAAGCTAATATTTGTTACTGACGGAAGTAACTTAAAAGTTAAATAACAGTATAAGAGTGTTCATTATTTTCTTTGGTGTACTCGTATGTATGAATTCGTTAATGGAGTGAGCAACTTTTCAAAGTAGCCTTTCAGTACAAACAAACAAATCAAATGAATGATAATAAATGAATAAATAATGATAAGATGGTAGCAATAATAAATAAACGAATGAACAAACATCGACGACCTAGTTCTAGCTATTCTTCATCTTGCTAGTTAATTTATTCTTTCCTAAATCCTTAAACATAAATCAACGGCTTTGACAGCCATATTAATATGTAAAAGTACTACCAGTAGTCCTGTTACACAACTCAAAGTACTCTGTTCTGGATTCCTCTAGAAACAAATAATTTCTTTTCTCCAAGTCACAAATTATTGCTCGACCAGTCCCCGCACATAAACACCATGCTCTATCTAATTTATAATTTAATGATTAGGTTCTTAATGACAGGCCAGTTTTCTAGAAACGCTAAGTCTCAGAAAGAACTATCGTCTTCGTGTTCCTTTAGATGTAAATGACAAAACGATTGACGTACCTGAAAACACACACGTATACGTATGTGTCCAAAGCATTCTGCACTTTCAACGGAATATATACTAGCACCAGTAGGCCTACGATCATGTCAGCAATCGCCAGATGCATGACAAGGTAATGAGCAGGGTTCCTCAGAGAGGACGTCCGCCGTATGGCGGCGATCACTAAACTGTTTCCAAAACAAATTGGAAAAATTAATGCAACTCTGACTCCGGTGTTAACATAGTCGTTATTGGTCGATTCGCCTGTTCCGATGTCCGTGAGGTTCATGTTCATTCTCTTTTATATCATTACATGCCTTTTTTCAATGGATGACCACTTAGATCCTCCTATGAAGCTTAGGTTGCCACTTTTAAAAAATAGTTTAAAGCAAAGTGGACCTTTATGAACCGCCATGTATTATTTGTACTTTCCTCATATTCCACAGTTGATACGTATCGCTTTTTAAATGAAAACAACTTGCGCTTTGCTTTAAGCGACTGGTATTTTAGCGTAACCAATGCAACAGTAAAGAATGGGCGGATGCCCATAATGAAAAGTGATACGTAACAGCCGATATCACAGACTTACAGCTTTGAGAGATATCGGCCGCATCATAACTTTATGTGGTCGCATTTATGTAATACAAAGGCCTTCTATATGCTTTTCAAAAATGTACCAAAGTCACGTTTTCTATGTCATCATATCCCGCAAAGCTGTTTATCTTTCCCAACTCAAAACCTCACTAAAATGAAGGACACTTAGGGGAGGATATATAAGGCATTTCACTCTCCCTAAACTTCAAAAATAACCCCCCTCCCCAAGAAAAAAAAATATAAGAAAGTTTGAGGGAGTCTGATGCAAGCATCTTTTTCCATCGCCTTACCCTACAGTAAGGTAGAATAGTCATCGTTTTTACATAATTGCAAAGCAGAAGAGGAAATCTTTGTGACCCCCCCCCCTTAATTTCCATAATATATAACTAACATAAGACAAGAGCATCTATATTTTATTTCATAGTTGATTTATTACGCACCCAGAATGTAAGAAAATGTGGCATATCATTGTTAAGCTATCTCAGTATCACAGCCGCTAAAATAACCACAACCCTGTTCTTCACATAACTGTGAGTGGAACGCGCGGTTGGTGCAAATGTGGTTTTTTAACCGATGCTGTTTTCATTAACTGTCCTTTAACGTTATCCAAAAGATGTGTTAATTCAAAATTCATTTTTAACTCAAATTGTTTTTCAAATATGTTGAAGGTTTTGTGTCTTTGATAGTGTCCTTCCTTACAGCATGTCTTCAGTGTGCTTCTTAAGACTCTTGAATACAGTGCAAAGATAAAACAAACATAAAACAGATATCACTTAGCTTCCACAATTTGTGCAGTTGCAGCTTTATGTATTGAAGCCACACGTGGGAGATACACAGAACGTGCCCCCCCCCCCCCCAAAAAAAAAAAAAACACAAAAACAGATGGGAGTATTTTCTCTGTAAGAAAATAGAGTGCACCTACACACAATGGACAACAGAAGTGTAATCCCTACTGAACCAATACTTTGGGGGAGATAAATGACTGTGGAATGATATGCTCCTGGTATCATTTTATTAACAGCAATTTAAAAAAAAACGCAAAATGTAGACCAGGCATTATAACTACTCAAGATCTGCTTACTTTGATTATTGATTACTTGATTATTATCTGATTACTTTGATTCAGGGGGTGACACTTCTATTGTCCATTGTGTGATTGTGTGTATTTCTTCGCCCACCGGCCACTAGTTTTCTAGGAAAATATTGTTCTTCTAATAAATATAACGATCACTTCACATTTAAAGCACGTGTCACTTACTTATATTAAAACTGCTGCGTATACAGGTTTTATTTAGTTAATTATTTAGCGGTATACTTTATAAGCAGAGTCACTAATACACGTGAGAAAGTTACCATGCAGGTCGCACACGGAGAGCTATATAGCTGTCAACCTCTCGAGATACAGGCAACACACACAAGAATTGCGTTGCGTTGGGCGACACGCTTATATTGGAACAAACCACAATGAGGTCAATGAGAGCTGCAATCCTCACAAAATGACGTCAAAATAAAAAAAAATTAAGTGCAGTTGTCAGTTTCTAAATGATCTTCGTTGCAAAATGCCAGGTAATGAATTCATTACAATACATACACTTAAATGTGTATCAAACGTCATAAGATATAATCCAAACAAAAGATGCATATATAAATATACATGTAGGCCCTATACACAGCACTTGTCTATGTACATTATACAGTATTTAACTGAGTCTGCGCACAGATGGTTTGAAATTCAGTTTAGCAGATTTAAAGACCCGCTCCGCACGTGAGTCCAGATGTACGTGAGAATTTGAGAACGCGCTCGGGGCTGCTACTGGTCAAGTCTTCCAAATGGATCTCATTATGATCTGTAAAAACAAAAGGGTTGTCTCTTCTTTGTAAAATGTATATATATTTTTACCCTGAAATACATATCTTAATGTCCAATATTTTTCTGGATATAAAAGCATAGTTCTTTGCAATGTACTGAATTCATCCACCATCATGCAAAACAATTTTTTCAGAACAAAATTAGTCAGGTGAATACCGGTACATGGTCAATATTTATTCATTTATTGTTGTGTATTTACTTGTTTTTGTTCTTTTTATTATGTATTTTCTATTATTTTTGTCGAAGCATTTCGAAAAGCAAACAGATATTTATCGAAAAGATTCCTGTAAAAATTACAGAGGAAACAACTAACGCATTACCACAAATTTCCGTCTCTAGGTCCTCAACACGAATTATGTCTTCTTCTTCCAGTGTGAACTGCACAATGTCTGTGAACGTTACCACCTCAGATTCTACAAATACACATAAAAATTAATGAAAAGGAGCGAACAGAAGAAGAGGTTTTTAGGGAAATATTTTGGCACGTGCTGTGAGTCAACAGTCAACAATATGCTATTTAAGTCAAGGACATTGAGTTATAAGAGGACTCTATTTCGACACGGAGTCATATATTGACAATTAATTAATTAATTAAGGAACGTTAAGGAAGAAATTAATTAATTAATTAATTAGATTATGAAGATCTGCTGAATTTCTACACAAGGAAAACAAAAGATAAAACAAGAGTCACGTTTACGCACAACTGCGATTTGAGCTGTGTTTACCTTCACGTGGCAGCGGTGGTGACGGATCTATGGGAGCTGTATCTACCCTGTACTTGGACCGTCTTCTTTTCAGCGAGAAAATCCGAGTCACCCCCTTTTTGAATCTTTTCCAGGGCGACACCCTTGCTGCAGGGTCGACTTCGTATGATGCTAAACGTGAAATAAAATTACATCATCAACTATATAAAGTATTTTCATAGACATATGTGGTAGTGCCACAATGATGGTTGTCTACACCGCAAGATTTATTTTAAGATATTAACCAACGAAGAATCTATCAGTTGTAAGGTGGACAGACGAAAATTTGAAAATGTTTCCATACCATTGTTTTGATTGTTGGTGGCTGCATGTACAATACGATCCACATCATTTGGCACCGTGGCCATCGTTTCTGCGTTTGGTGGATCAATTTGTCTGCTGACCTCAGCATTTCCTGGAATTTTCGAAGAGATCAATGTATAATAAACATAATGGAAATTAGTTCAAGATTAAAATACATGTAACTGTATGCATGAAATATTCATTTATCACGACACCCCTCTTTTCAATTCACGGTTAAATCTAAAATAACACTTACTGAATGTTACACTTAACTGAATGTCAACCCTCAAAATTCTTTGTAAACAGACTATTTTTACTGTTTCCCGTCATATATCTATAAGAAATAAATTCAAAAAAAACTTCCATACCTCTCTGGTCTTCCACCTGGACGCTGTCTTCACCTCTACAGAGCAGCCAGGTTACATGAATAGCGTGGACCCACGCCCACCACCGACTTAACAAAGGCCGGTTCATGTCCCTCCAGGGAGGTACACGACCCTGTATTTTTATAAATCATAACAAAAAAGGGAAATCATAACAAATTTATGTGTCTGCATTTGTTATATTTACCTTAAAGTATATAAGAAATAATTTGTGATGAACGACATTAATTTACAAATCTTCTTAATCCTGAACCGCTTTGTATAAACTGAAGGCTAAAAGCATACAAATAGCATCAGCATTTGATCCAAATATTTTAAAATACATGGTGCAAAAAGACATATGAAAACTTGCTTACATTTGCATTGTGCGAGCGTCTTGGCATTATCCTTTCTTCAAATAAAAATAATGATGAATATTTAAATACAATTATCAGAAATAAGTTTCAATCTACGCAACTGTCGTGTCAAGTTGCTACGTTGTAGTGCGGTCTTTGCTAATTGGACAGTTTTATCTGTGACGTTTAACGTTACTTACGTCAAGTCCTAAGCGTGACGTAGATTCAAAAGCGTAACGTTACTGTCAAATTGTTCTTTGTTCTTCAGGACGTACCGAAGATGCAAAATTATTTTTGCACCACATTTGCAGCACGACCTACACCGGCTGTTTCAAATCATAAGGACTTACATGTACATGTAGTTTCCTATATAGACTACGATTATTCACCTAGAATGGTTTTAATACAAAATCACCCCACCCCAAAATTTCTTTGAAAAGAAATCAGTGTGGGCAACAAACCATTTTTAGTCTCTCAGCCAGACAAAATTTTACTCTGGTACACAAGATACAAGACAAATATTCACCGCAAATATACAGTATTTTAGTTTGAAATTGTGCCACCAAAGCTGCTATGTATACACTCGTGCAACAAATGAATTTCTCAACAAGAATGTCTTATCTAGGGTTCCAATGACTTCAAAATAAGATAAAAGACATTTTTTAAAAATTCAAATTGCGTCACGTTAAAGGTAGCATACAAAGCAGAAAATGCCATGAACAAACTTATTGTTTAAAGTTACACGCATTTCCTTTGACCGTTCTATAACTATTGTGTACATATCCACAGGTTAGATTAGGAAAAGATTTGTATCTCAACTTTAGAGTGTCTTCAATAAGTTTATCGGCAGGTTCCGATACGTCTCTAATCATTTTAGCAATGGATGAACGCGGCGTCCTTTTATTACTTCGATGAAACTTTCCTTCGGAGTGCTTTTTGATGCATTCTAACCGTTTTTCGCTCACAGGCATCTGTAAAAAGGTCATTACCGACCTTAAAGCCTCGACTAGGTTGTTTATAAGTGCGTCATAACTGAAATAATCAGATAATCAAAATTAAGGTATAAATTGAAGATAATATACATGTAATTCAAATATACATATATTTTCCGTATATGCAGATTTGTGAAAGAACGAGTTTTATGTTTATGTTGTACACGCAAGTGTTGCACGCAATAATAAATTACTGCCACATCGACTCTTTAACATACCGAATTAGTTAGATCGTTCTACTTCCTTTCTCTTTTTCAGAAAACGAAACTTGCTTGGAATAACAGGGATAATGATTTCAACAGTCAATTAATTCAATTAATTTATAAATAATAAAGTTTAAGAAATATTAAAACTGCACATATTTCTTATGGTGTGATGATGATTCTCGTGGTGTAA